ATTCTAAGTATAACTATTACCTTAGAATAAGGCTAGTTCCCTTATAGGAAGACTTTAGTATATTTAAAGTATTCTTAAGATCCTTTAAGTTAAATACTAAAGATAAGGGTTCTTTTAAAAGGTTTTACCTTATAATTAATAAGGCTTATATTTTTTATTCTTTAGATATATTCTTATATTTGCCCTCTTCTTTAAAATATATATTTAACTTAAGTAGTTTAAAGAAGAAATAAATAAAAGTAATCTAGGAATTCTAATTATTAGTTCCTTAGAGATATTATTCTTAAGGTATTAAATAGCCTATAGTAGCCTTAATAAGATCTACTATTTTCTTCTAGTATTTATACTAGAAATAAATAAGTATTTTTAACCTATAGAATAAAGGTCTTACTCTTTTTACCTCTTTAAATAAATATATATTTTTATAAGATATATAAGGTAGTTAAAAGGTTTTATAACTACTACTAATAGACTTATATAACCTTTGTTTAGTAGATATTAAATACTATCTTCTAGTTATAAGAAATACTAAAGGCTTACTTTTTTTACTTTAATATTCTTATAAAGAAAAGATAGTATAAGGGATCTACCTTATAGATAAATAAATAGGCTACTAAAGAGTATATCTAACTCTTATAGTAATAATAATACCCTAGGTATATAACCTAGGCTTATAACCTATTAGTATAATAAGTAGGCTTAGGTCTCTTAGAGAAAATAATAGCCTAAGAGTATATAAGAGAGTATATCTCTTATATAAAAATATATCTTATAGAAGTAAAAATATAAGATAATAGAGGTAAATATAAAGATATAAGGATATAGATAGAAAGAGAGTATAATAGTTAGTCTTATTATTTTATTACTAACTATTCTATTTTACTTGCTTAGAGAAAAAATAAGATAGACTAGAAATAGGAAGAAATCTAGCCCTTATATAGATATATCTAGCTTACTAGAATATTCTATACTTGCGTAAGCTGCTTATAAATTAACCTAAGATTATATAACTTAATAACCCTAGTTAAATAACCTTAAGTTAAAGCAGTAACCTTATTAAAGAGATAGTGTAAAGAGGAGGTTTCTTAGATATTCTAGTACCTTCTCCTATCTTCTAGTGATTACGTAATTAGACATGCTTACGTAATTAATATATATATTAATCTACTAAGTTAGTAGATTATATATATATATATATTATATATATATAACCTCTATAATAGAGGAAATATAAGATAAAGAAGTATTAAGAGTATAAGAGATACTCTTAGTTCTTATACTTCTAATAATATTTTATAGTATAGGCCTAGTAGCCTTAACCCTTTTTTAAATACTTATTTATACTATAAGTAGTTAGTAAAAAAGAATTCTTTAGCTTTATTAATATAAAGGACTTTACTATTATTAGTATAAGTTTTACTTAATTTATAAGTAATACTTATATAAGTATTATACCTTTTTTTCTTAATATTATACTTATTAGCTAGCTACTTACTTATTATAGTACTATAAAACTAGTAGTATAAATTTATTTACTTAGTAAGCTTATTAAAGGCTAACTTTTATATAGCTACCTTAAGGGTATTTAGCTTATAGCTTTAGTAAAGTATAATAAACTTAGTTATAAAGTAATAAGTTAAGTTAGTATTCTATAGTATATAAAGCCTTTTTTTAGCTTAACTAATACTTCTAATAAATAGTTATATATTATTACTTTTATTTACTAAAGAAGGTATAACTTTATTACCTTTATTACTTATACCTAGCTATAGCTACTTAACTCTTTTTTACCTCTTTAGCTACAGTAGTAGTACTAAACTTTTAGTTAAGTCTTTAATAATAAGTATAGTAATAACTATACTATTATTATTAATTAATAAGCCTTTTTTTTACTACTAGTTATTTATTATAGTATTTAATAATAATAATAATAATAATAATAATAATAATAATAACTTTACTTATAACTATAAAGTACACTAGTATTAATAGTATTATAAGGAAAAGTAATAAAGCTTATCTTATAGGCTTTATATAGTAAAAGGAAGGCAGTAAGGTAAGTAATTAGGCATAAGGATAGTAATAGTATATCTTGTAGGCCAAGGTTTTACTTAGCAGTAATTAGCTAATCAATAAGTAGCTCTTATTTGAGGTACAGGCTGTTATCCAACTTTGCCGCCGTTGCTGATCAGGGCCTTACTGTAGTTGTGGCCTTGAATTTGTAGCCTTTGACCCTATGCATTTGTTATCAATATTGCCACTTTTGAGTAGGGAAATCTATCTAGCCAATGACGGCGACATTTGCCCCATTTTCGCTCATTGCCAATTGCCACACTTTGACAGCATCCCGCCTATTGGCCTAGGGGACCAATATTCTTATATACACCACCCTTAATTTGTATAGCACTTGTGCAAGTCTGCTATAACGCTTGTTAACTTTTTAATTAGCTAACTAGCTTTATCTCGCTAAAGTCTTTGTGGTTATGTAATCAACTTGCCTAGTGGAGTACTTGTGACTTAATATCTAGTAGTAACCTGAGTCACGTCTAGTATAAGTGCATAACAAAGCTATAAAATCCCTGATCGGCACCTCCCTAGGAATAAAACTTAGAGGGTTTAAAATGCTTAGTGCTATATTATAGAGGCAAAACAGTAGCAAACAACAAGGTTTATAACTGCTATCAAGGCGACATGCAAGCGCATGATGGTCATTGCGTTGCGGCAGGTTCCTTGGGTTGGCGACTGATTTGCGAGCAGTCATGTTGAAGCAGCAGGTCCACTGTTGGAAGGTCGTTGATGTCGAAGACGAGTGTTAACACGAGGTCAAGTCTGAGGGAAGTGAATCGACAATGCCTAGCAGGTTGCAGACGGGCTTTCAATCGCTCGATGGAGCTATCTACGCTGGCTGAGTCTGTGACTTAATGCGCAAATTTTGCTGCGACCTTGGGAGCTTCAAGCCATCGTGGTACGTCAATTCATAACCTAGCGGCGACTCTTCGAAGCCGTGACCGGTGTCGCTGGTACGTCAGTCGTGCCGGTGACCCCACGAGCTTGGCATCTTCAATGACGCCATCAGGTCAAGGCTGCACGGGGCTGGTGCTGCTTGTATGTTAAGCCACGACCCAAAATAAAAGGGCTAGCGGCCGAAGGCAGGGCCCGTAGTAGACGGTGGCAAAGACACTGCCTCAGCCGCCTCCTCAGTCACCGCGTGCTCGGATAGTAATGGTTCGCAACGGGTAACGTTAGCCGATATCCATTATAGGTGATAGTTGTGAATAGCTTCAGTTGATTGACATCGGCAGCAAGGCTATAGGCGACCGTTTTGTCGGCGGGGAACTCGCTGTGGATGGGCCCTCCAGAGATTTGGGGGGCTGGCGGCCAGCGAAAGTCCGAGGCCGGAGTCTGGATGGGACCCCAACCGCATTGTAGGCAGGATGACCAGGTCTTTGAGCACGGTATCTCCACCGAGATCATGTAGGAAAACAGCACAAGTTTTTTATATCAAGGTTGCCTAGACTAAAAGCGTACAGTCACAGGCAGAAAGTTTGGGCCCACCCCGCAGTTGTACCGTACGCACTGGTAAAATCCGGACAAAGCTAGGAAGCCCGCTAACGGTAAGGAGTATCGTGGCCGCTGTAAGGAGTATAGTGTGCTGGCAGAAACAGGGATCTGTATATATCACTTTTCTTACGTAACGGTTGTGTTTCTACTAACGGCGGGCTGGCTAGTGGGCAACAGAGGGTGGAAGGGGTGACCGCCCTCTATATTGGGACTAGCGTAGCTGAAATCCACTAGCCGTTATAGGACATCTGCTAGCTTTCTCTGGCTAGCGGGCTTTCTAGCTTTGTCCGGATTTTACCAGTGCGTACGGTACCATCAACCGTCTTATAGAGTCAATACCGCGGCGCTTACGAGCTGTACAGCAAGCCCGGGGATGGTATACACAGTACTCATAGAAAAACAATTAGCTTTTAATTTACTATACTCTTGCTATATAAACTATTAATTTTGTAGCCCTATTTGTAGTTAAAGTGATGGGGTAGATTTGTGGGCTAGAGTGGGCCTAAACATTTTGCACGTCACTGTAGATATGCATATATGTACACTTCGTGGTAGGCCGGACGGTAGGGCCGGACGGTAGGGCCAGACAGTAGGGGCCAGATAATACTAATCCTAGCCCTTGTAAAACCTTACAGGACTAGCAATGCCGCTGAGGGTATTATGACATTAATAATAATTATATTAACGTAAAATACAAGTGAGTGAGCTACACAAGTGAGCAACCCACTTCCTTATTACACTAAAAGGGCCACTTTCCCCCTTATTTCTTAAAAAATAAAGTTAAGCCTAAAAAAGGTCTAGTTTTAAGTGTTATATATTAATAAGGTTTTAGTTATTAGAAAAAGTATTATATAAATTACTATCTAACTTTAACTAACTATATAATCTTTTACTTAGGTCTTATCTAGACTTATAAATAAAAGGTAAGGCTTATATATAGGAAACTTAAGATATCTATAGTACTATTCTTTATGACTTAGGTCTTATCTAAATATAGAACTTAAAACTAGACCTTTTTAGGCTTAATTTTAATCTCTAAAAAAATAAAGAAAGAAGTAGCCCTTTTAGTATAATAAGGAAGTAGCTTACTTACTTATAAACTATATTATAGGTATTATAATTAATTATACTTAAGGGTAGATTAGACTATATCTACCTATAGTAGACTTAATTAAAGATATAAACTAAAGTATAATAATGATAGTAAATTAATAGAAGTTTATAGAGATACTAGGCAGAAGCTCTCTTAGTAGAGTAAGTGCTTATAGGTCTAACTATGTTAGCTTTCTAGACTAATTAGATATCTTAAAATATAGGGGGGCTATTATTAGCTATTTACTTGCTAAGTAAAGTCACCTTATACTAGAAAATAGTATATAAACTGACTATCCTGATGATACAATGCTAAATTGTGTTTGCTTCTGTATCATACTGACTACTGCTCTCTTAATCTTACAACCGACTTCCTACTATCTACGTTCATAATGAAGCTTTCCTACGTGCTCACTGCTGTACTTGCTGCAGCTCAAGTTCAAGCAACGACTATATTTTGCCAGTAAGTAAAGCCTAGTGTCTACCTATATGTCTTGATACTGATCTAGACCAGGTGTCGCACATTAAACAAACATGGCCGTCAAGTGAGTTGGCCATCCGACACTCGGGAAACGTGTCGTACGCATGGGGGGGACATGTATAACTCAGCATGGTGCGAGGTCGACATGCCAAATGGTAGATCGTGGGAATCGTGGTGGTCAGGGGTAAGAGAAATAAGACTATCTCATTTTGTAACTGCTAATAATCATTATTATAGTCGTGTGATAGCTTTGGCCACTGCGAACACAGTCGGCCCAACGTCTGATCACTAGTATATAAGGGAGCAGGTTACCTATTACAATTAACGGGAATGATAGGCGAGCAAGACACAGCTGCGCCAATGAGACGGAATGGCTTCCATATCAACCTAAACAGCATTAGTCTAGTTCAAACTACTCATAATCCTCATCTTCAAATATCTCTTCAATAAACTAGCACGTCCGTGCATTGTGTCCTAGGTTACCACAGACGCCACACCATAGCTGACCTGTCTCAGCACTTACTTTGCGACCCCTAGTGTAATGCGTTTCTTCATAAACCTACGCATTTACGTCTTTCTATAACCAAATAACTACTACATTAGCTTATTAGATATAGATAAGACTAGAGTAGTAAGCTAATAGGCTTGGGCCTTGCTGCTAGGACTAGAGTTATTATAATACTAACAGTAAATCCCCTCCCTTCCTCCTTCCCTGCTGCTTTAGGCTTTGTGCGCTGTACATCTACCTGTCTTAGGCATCGCCCTAGTCACGTAACTTGCCTATCTTGACGTTATTAAAGCTAGGCGAGTCAGTCAGAAGAGACCGCCTTGCTGAGTTCAGGTAAGCTAATTGCAGTGGGCCGGCCGGGGCCTGGTGGGTGGGGCATAAGGTGATGGTCGTGAGAAATCTGCCAGGAGAGGTTGACAGCTGGTGAGTTCCTGGCAGCTGTCAGATTCCACACGTCGTCCACCACCACCAAAGGTAGGTAGGTAGGTGGATTCACTCATCACTCGGTTTACACCTTCCCTCTCAGTTGAGTACATTCCAATATTACGCGCCTCACATCTTCCCTTCTCCACGCTACTCAAGCGCACGCAAGCTGTTATTCTTCAAACTTGTACGTGTACAACTAAGTGTTCGACACGGTCGAATTTCTTTGACACTACCCAGTCAACCTCTTCTTGGAGCAATGCCCGCCATTCCCCTTTGTCACCCCCGTCGCCATTAGGCCCCCAATCAAATCCTTCGCAGGAGGACATTACCGGCCCCATGGCAAAATCTAACACTAATAGCTCCGGCACCGTCGCTATAGCCTGAAAACCTTTCCAGATCCAAGAATCCCGTCGTGGGTCATTAATCACTAGGCTACATACAGCGTACAGATTTCTTCTTACTGGAACCCTCGCTAACAGCTTTAATGGCATCAAAGGTATTTCACGTCAAGCATCTTTTCAACTCCATGGTCGACGGTTCTATCAGTCCTGACGCCAATATTCCCGATAGCCTCATCCAAACAACCATCTCACGTTCTGCTCCAGATCATCAGCGTTCCTAAGTGCTATCCAACTTTGTTAACATGCCAGCTTGCAAGCTACAGCCAGCTGTAACGCAGGCGTAATCTGTTATGATTGACGTGGACTGACAGGTAGTCACATAACTCAAGTCTAAACAGGAAAGTCAACGCCTGGTCTAGTTTCTCTACGCCTAATAGGATAGTCCTTTTTAGCCTCATCAGGACCTGCGAGGCAATTGACGCATAAACAAGAAGCCTATCTGCCTTGTGTTGCTGAGGTGCCTACGATCTGTCACTAATCCTGCCAGAAGCCAAAATATTGCACTCGACACGCTTTGGGCGGATGGCGGTTCTCTCGGAGAAGCTTTAGGACTCACAATTGACGGACAAGATGCTGCCTAGCCTTACCCAACCCCTCAAGTCTCAGACGCCCCCAGGAGCATCCGTAGCTAACCCCGCCTACGTGTTACAAGACAACACAGATGACAACAGGATCATGCTTGGCCCGCTTGATAATCCCGGCGTCGTAGCAGATAACAACGAATGTGATGATAACAAGGGCCTGAACGACACTGACTCCGACATTGATCATCCTCGCTTGCCTCCATCGAGGCATTCATCCCCGCCAGGAACGAACCAGCATCACTAACGCCGTCGGAACTTGATCCAGAGGAGAGCCGCAGGTTCTAGCCCACCCCAAGTCCGTCTAGGGCCTCATCAGCTCCGCCGATATCATTTGACACTTCAAATAAGGACCGATATCACAGACCAAGCACCAGCCACAAGTACTAAAAAACTTAAATTATACTACACTAGGCCAAAAACAGGAGAGTACATTATTATTTTAGTTCTATATTATAGAACTCTAATAATATTAAAGTAAGCTATATACTACTAAGAAATATAACTTTTTTATTAGTAAATCTACTAAATCTTTTATTTTCCTTATATAAATTATTATTAATCTTTATACTTAGGTTAAAGTTTAAAAAAGATCTAATATTTTACTTCTTATACCTTAAATACTATAATTAATTACTATAATCTTAATAGTAGGTAATAGTAGGTAATAGTAGGTAATAGTAGGCAACAGTAGGTAATAGTAGGTAATAGTAGGTAGGCGCTGGTGACAGTAGGTAGGCGCTGGTGACAGTGGGTAGGCGCTGGCGACAGTAGGTGGGCGCTGGCGACAGTGGGTAGGCGCTGGCAACAGTGGGCAGGCGCTAGCAGTAGTGGTGCTAGTAGTCTACAGCTGGCGGCAGCTGTCGCAGGGGCTCTAGTAGTATAAGACCCCACCCTATAACTCAGACTACCCCCTAAGTTAGACTATATATTTATATTAACTATTTTCCCCCTTTTTTATACTTCTAGCAATTAACTACCTTTTATAAACTAAAATATCCTAGTAATAAAAAATTAAATTAATTTTTTTAAAAATACTAAATACTTTAGAATACTAAACTATACTCCTAAGTTACTTAAAAAAGTAATTAATAAAGTTTTTACTAGTAGTAGCTATTATAAAGTAGCTAAGTACTAAGGTATTCTATATATAATACTTTACTATTACGTTTAAAATACTATATTAATTAAAGAGGCTAAAGCTAACTATTAATAGCTTAGTTAAATATAAAAAAAATACTTTATTAACTAGGCTTTATCCTAAGAGGCCTTTAGCTTTATACTTAGTTATTTATAGGTTAAAGAGATAGCCTAGAAAGTCCTTAGAGCTAGTAATAATTTATAGCTATTAGGTAAAAAGTAGCTAAAAGGATTCTTATAAAGAAATTTAGCTATAAAGACTTTAAAGGTAAAAAAGATTAGCTTTAAGAGGATTAAGTATATTACTAAAGAGAAAATTAAGAAGCTTTTTTACTTATTTATACTCCTTATTATTAAGGATATCTTATAATATTTATAATAAAATATAAAAAAGACTAAGATTACTAAAGAGAAAGCTTAATAGTCTTTAGTACTAAAGAAGTCTAGTAAGTAATCTATATATATCTAAGTCTCTAAAGCCTATACTTAAATAAGTATTCTTAAGTATATCTTTATAAATAGTAAAAGATTACTTTCTTTAGTTATCTATAAAAAAGCTTTAGTATAATAATAATAGTTTTTTCTTAAACTTAAATCTTTTACTTAATAGTAGTTTATATTATTAAAGAATAACTAGACTTTAAATAAGATAAGCTTTAACTAGCTTAAGACTATCTTTATTTTAGCTATAACACTAAAAGTAAAAAAACTTAATTCTAAGACTTTTTTTATTATAGATAAATATAAAAGTTATATATCTAATAACTTTATATAAGAATACTTTTAGTAAAATATTTACTTATTTTACTTACTACTTTATACTAGCTATATTACTTAACTTCTTAATATTTTAGTTTTTTCTCTCTTAAAGTAAACTTATTAAAAAAAGTCTTAGAGGTATTTATAGACCTAAGTAGTACTTTAATTAAGAAGTAGAACTTTTTTTACTATTATTTTAAAGTATTAAGAGAGGCCTTTATAAAAAAGAATATTTAAGTAAGCTAGTTAGTAATAAAGTTATAGCCTATAAATATAACTTAGCCCCTTATAAGTAAATCTATTAACCTAGATAATAATACTAATAACCTAAAGGCTTTAATATAGGATCCTAGCTTTTCTATTAAGCCTAGTATACCCTAATAGTTTACTTTTAAGACCTCTTAAAGGTTAAAAGACTTAAAGAGGTATTAGAGTCTATAAAATCCTTAAAAGAAAAATAATAAATAAAATTATAATACTTAAAGACTACTTTTTATAAAAGTAAAAAAGTAACTTAATAATATAAACACTATACTAGTAAAAAAAAGTAAAAGAATATAGTTACTTAAGGCCTAGTTAAACTATATAAAGAAGTATAAAAAAAGTAAAGTTACTATTAATCTAAATACTTACTTTACTACTATAAAAAGTATTATTATAGTAAAAAAAAAGGTAGCCAAGGAGTAAGCTAAAAAGAAGGCTAAGAAGGCAGTAATTAAAGTAGTAAAGGCATTAGCTAAGGTAAAAAAAGTAATAGTAAAGGCAAAGGTAGTAAAAGAAGAAGTAAAAGTAAATCCCTCTTTATAATATAAATAGTTTAGTAATTATATAAGTTAATTTATATAATTAATAAATAGTAACTATTAGGCTAAAATAATAATTTTTTTATATAGTCTAACTTAGGGGGTAGTCTAAGTTATAGGGTAAGGTCTTATTTATTAAATTAACCTTTTGCCTTGTATTAAACTCTTGTTAACCCTAACCCTATATAGTTTCTGATTAGAGTACAGCTGATATCGGACTGTTATTGGTTTTGCTGATCAGGCCCCTAGTTACATAAACAACCTTGCAATACTCCACGTGTCCTCTGTTGCCTCATGCCAGGCGAGACACAACCATCTAGATGCCAACGTCAAACCCAGAACAGACCTACTGTTCAAGACACCCAGGCGAAAGCGTCTGAAAGATCCGCCAGATGTGGTCTTGGAGCTATCTAATACAGACAATGCCCTGTCCATCGGCCAAGACCAGAATACAAACACTATCGCAAAGAATCGTATCCAAGGCGCTCTCCTAAATTTTATCTAGCGCCTGCCTAACTAACAGTACTATGTAGCTATCATGTGAGGTTCTGTAAGCCTCTAAAAACACTACCTAGCTCCTATGTTAGTGACACCCTGTGGTCAGATCTTGAAGATGCCGCAGCGCTTAAGAAGAAATCCCCTGACCGCAAGTTCCGTCTAGGTACGACAATTTACGCCTCCAAACACCATTCGGCCTCTGACCATTAATCCCTTTGTATATCCAGGGCCGGTGTGTCTCTGATGGACGTTGAAGTTGTTGACTCTGCTTAATCCTTAGTGCCTTCAACGCGTGCGCCACAGCCTATCGACTTGGCTCTCACCTCGTGGAGGCTCTAATCCCTTATGTGACCTTGCCCTAGTTCCCCTGTGCTGACTCCTGGTCCTGTGCCGCCGACCTGCAAATTCCTTAGGCCGCGAGGTGACCCTATTTCTGCCAAGGGCGGGGTGAAGCCAATGCATTCACAGTATTAAGTCCAACAAGCCAATAGTTTTACAGTACTTCTATCTATATAGCGTTTTGCTTAGGCCATAAGTATCTGCAATCTCTATCTTTACATAGAGGTACATTGCATTCCAAGCAGTCCTGCCGGGTCTTTTGTCGAAACAGGTGTATTATCATGTATCTCCAAAAGTGAGGGGTAAAAGTAGAGGGGGATCCACCTTCGTAGAAATGGGGTCACCACGCGGCCGAAGGGATAAGCGTCTAGGCGCTGCTCCTTGGCCATCTTTGGGGTCTGCTCAAGGCTGCACTAGTCACTAACTAGATTTGGGTTGTGACATAACCAGTGCTGCTGCCATTAATTCCCGATTCCAGATGCCGTCCTCCCCACAATGATCGCTAACCCCTCTCTGTCGATCTGGGGACCCCGCAAGTTAAACGGCTCGATCCCCAGATTTCGGACTTAACAGTGTGAAAGAGAGGGTCACAACAACTTGATTAATTAACACAAGTCTCGTCTGCGGCGTAACTATGACCGAGCGCACCAGCTCAATAACCCGGATGTGGACGATATTGCGGGGCTTATTACAGCAAGTGGATAATCCAACGGGTTAAAATCAAGCGAAGGAAAGAGGCGAATCGATGAGAGATGAGTTCCCTTCCAGAGTATTTAATCACTCGACGTAAGGAGCCTAAAGAGTAATCTTAGAGCATTCCTTCTGCACATTAACGACTTGCATTGCACCCACAATTCTCTCTTGCAGTGCCGCCTTCGAACCATGAGTGTCTCAATTTCCCAGGTGACGTTCGAGCACCATCGGCTTGCCCTTGGCATTGCTGAATCAGAACCCCGTATCTCATGGCGGTTCAGCGGTAATGCTGTGGACTGGGAGCAAAGCGCCTACGACGTTCAGATCGCGAGGAGCACAAGTAGCTCTCCTACCACCTACACTGTCAACTCTTCTGCATCCCTCCTTGTCCCATGGCCCGGAACAGCTCTACATACGGCGGAGCAAGCAAATGTGAGAGCCCGAGCACACGGCAAGCCTGGCCAAACTTCCACTCCTTGGTCCGACTGGGTCACAGTGGAAACGGGGCTCCTGGACGCCAGTGACTGGGCTGATGCCGTTCCCGTTGCGGCAGACAGAGAGACCGAGGTGGATGCTCCCAAACGCCCGATATACTTCCGAAAGCCCTTCCAGACGGGTGCCAATGTCGCTCGAGCTCGACTTTACATTACGGCCTTGGGACTTTATGAGGCGGAAATTAACGGCAGAAGGGTTGGAGACTACGTGTTAGCTCCTGGCTGGCAATCTTACAACTATCGCCACGTGTACGATACATTCGACGTCACAGAGCTTGTGACTAACGGAAACAACACTATTGGTGTTGTCGTTGGTGAAGGATGGTTCTCCGGGAGACTAAGCTATGATGGTGGTGTCAGAAACAACTATGGCGATACCATCGGCCTTCTTGCTCTCCTCGTTGTCACGCTCGATGATGGAAGCACTGTCAAAATACCTACCGACAGAACATGGCAGGCGAGCACCGGCCCTTTGGTGTCATCTGAGATATACAACGGCGAACATTACGACTCGAGGCTCGATGCGGATCTAGAAGGATGGTCATCTGCAACATACGAAGCCAATGACTGGCTGTCAGTTCACGAGTTACCCGCATTGAAAGGCGAGTTGGCACCACCCGATGGACCACCAATCAGACGAGTCGAAGAGAGAAGGCCTGACGCTATTTTGAAATCTCCTTCTGGTAAAACAATTATCGACTTTGGGCAGAACCTTGTCGGTTGGCTTCGGCTTACAGTCTCTGGGCGGAGTGGGACGAACATCACGCTTCACCACGCCGAAGTGTTGGAGGATGGAGAGCTAGCGCTTCGACCGCTTAGGTTGGCCACCGCAGCTGATTCTCTCATCTTGAATGGTAACGGTAACCAAACTTGGGAACCTCGATTTACTTACCATGGCTTCCGCTACGCTCAGATTGACGGATGGCCTGAAGAAACCCCGTTAACAGCAGATTCTATTGTCGCAGTTGTCATTCACAGCGATATGGAACCGACTGGTTGGTTCGAATGCTCGAATCCGCTTCTCAATAAGTTTCATCACAACGTTCGGTGGTCAATGAAGGGCAACTTCATGTCAATTCCGACCGACTGTCCGCAACGTGACGAGCGACAAGGATGGACTGGAGACGCGCACGCCTTTGCTCCGACTGCGAACTATCTGTACGACGCAGCCGGCTTCTGGAAAGGTTGGCACAAGGACATATGGTCTGAGATGCAACGGAACGGTTCCATGGTCGTGCCTTTCACCGTTCCTACTATCCCCCCGATGCCCCAGCTTATGCAGCTGCAGTCTGGGGTGATGTTGCGGTCGGGAATCCATACAACATCTACCAAGCCTTTGGTGATATTGCCCTCCTCGAAGAGCAATATTCTCAAGCTCAGGCTTGGATTGACACCGGAGTCATGCGAAACGAGGTAGGCCTGTGGCACCGAAGCTCGTTCCAGTTTGCAGACTGGCTTGATCCCAAGGCTCCCGCCGACGCCCCAGGCAACGCCACGACAGCAAAACATTTGGTTGCTGACGCTTATCTCATCCACATGACGGATTTCCTTGCAGAAATGTCTGCAATCCTAGGCCGCGATGATGCCGCACATAAATACCGAGCTCAACGGAGCAACTTGACTGAAGCATTCCATGATGCTTGGATTCAAGGTGGCGCACTTGTCAACGAGACTCAGACCGCGTATGCCATGGCTCTCAATTTTGGTATTTACCCTGATGAAACGCAACGTTCATTAGCTGCCAAAAAGTTGCGCCAGATAGTCGCAGACAATGATTATCTGGTAGGCACTGGCTTCGCTGGCACCCCTCCATTGGGATTCGCACTCAGGGACATTGGCGCTACCGAAGACTTTTATCGGATGCTTCTGCAAACAAGTGTTCCTTCATGGCTGTATCAGGTTGTTCAGAACGGGACTACTACTTGGGAACGATGGGACAGTCTTCTGGCAAATGGCAGTGTCAATCCTGGCGAGATGACCAGTTTTAATCACTATGCCTTTGGCTCTGTTGCCAACTGGATGCATCAAGTCATTGGCGGCATTGCACCCGCTGAGCCTGGCTGGAAGCGTATTACTGTTGCTCCGGTTCCTGGTGGTAATGTCACCAGCGCCAGGTCGCGATACATCAGTCCTTACGGGGAAGTGAAGGTAGATTGGTGGTTTGAGAATAATGTACAAGGAAAAGCGGCGCATCGCAATGGGTTCTACTTGACGGTCGGGATCCCACCAAACACCCAAGCGGACATTATATTACCTAACGGAGGGGAAAGGCTGAAGGTAGGCTCCGGATATTATCAATTCTTTGATCCGAGTTATCAGTCGTCTTAAAGTTCTTTTTACTATTTTCTAATAGTATATAACTTTATAGTTAAAGATAGCAAGGGTAGACATTACATAATTAATTAATTTTTATAACTATAAATTATATTTATAAGTTATAAGACCACTAATTATTAAGTTTAGTCTTTTAAAATAAGGTTTTCCCTAATACTATAGCTAGAGGTTTACACTTAGTATAATTAGAATATATATATATTATAGAACTAGTATCTAGGTTACTTAAGTAGTTACTTTACTATAGCTATGTCTTTAAGTGTATATAACTATAGTATATAGTAGTATATTAAAAGTATATTTATATTTTAACTTATACTTTTCCCTAAATAATTAGATTTAATCTATATATATATATATATATATATTAAAGCTTTTTTTAAGTTTTATTTTACTTTTAAGTCCTAAAAGCTATAGATTTATAAGTTACTAACTTTCAATATATTTCTTATATTTAAAAAGATTTTAATATAAAAATTCGTTTTTGTATTTTAAAAAGAAATATAAAATATAAAATATAGCTAGTATATATATAGTAGAATAATTAGTTTTTAGTAACCTTAACCTTAACTTTAAAGCTATTTATATTTAATTATAGTAGAACTTACGGTTAGTATTATAATAACTTTATTAAATTTATAGTATATTTTAAAGATTTATAACTATAGTATACTTTTTAAAGCCTCTAATAAAAACATATTTTAGATATATTTTCCCTTAATACACTAGTATATAGGTAAAAGAATATAGAATTCTAAGACAGAGAAGTCTAAGAATAGCTATACTTAAGTAAATAAGTGTCTAGTACTACTTTTACTAGTAATATAATACTATACTTAGTTATAACTATTAGATATTAAGGTTTAAATACCTTATATATATAAAAAATAAGATAATAATATAATAAAGAAGTAGAATATATAATATAGTATTAATAATACTATATACACTATATACACTAGATATAAGAATAACTACTTAGAAAACAGCTGTATATACTATATAATAATAATATTTATATATAAAGAATAGGTCTTTTAAGTAAGACCTCCTCCTTCTCTAAGGAATTAAGAATATAGTTCTAGATTATATAAGGTAAATAAATAAAATAATACCTTACTATAGGTAAAATAATACCCTATAACTTAACTTATTTAATAACCTTCTTAATAACCTACCTAATAACCTACTTAATAGCCTAGAATACTAGAGAAATCCTTAGAATACCTAAGAAATAAGTATAAGTAATCCCCTTATATCCCTAGGTCTAGTTAGCTAGTTAGATCTATAAGCTCTTCTATTATATCTATAATAATATACTACCTTTATATCTTATCTCTTATCTCTTATCTCTTATCTCTTATCTTTTATTTACCTCTTTTGCCTTTAAAAGGTTATAAGCTTAGCTCTTAAGACCTAGAAAGAGGTTAAAAAAAGTGACTTTCTTAAGAATTAAACCTATAGCCTCTGCTTTTTTAGGCTACTTTACTAACTTAATAACCTAACTAATTTAACTAACGCCTTCTACTAAAGGCAATATTAACAGTAATAGATTTAAAAATAAACCTTTTTTACCTTAAGGGCACTCTTAACTATACTACTTATGTTATACTATAGAATGCTTATTCTATAGAGGATTTACCCTGTAATATACAGGATATTAACTAGCCATTGGCTAGCTAATGCCCTAGGAATATTAGGAATATTAGCAGAGGAATTCTCTAGGAATTCTCTAGGAATTCTTAGAGAATTATTTAGCTATTTATACCTAGAAATTACTATTATTAATAGATAAATCCTCTGCCTATTTAGAAAAGGGAGAAGTATTAAATTTATAATTAATATACTTATACTAAAGTATAATAAATAGTAGTATAACTATTATTACTATCTAAAGAAGCTATTTTTATTAATAACTTCTTAGGATAAATAAAAAAAACAATTAAAAGTATAACCTTAGCTTTTCTTTAGTACTAAAAGACTATAATAAGATAAGATTTTATTTAATCCTTATAGTAATTCTAGTAAATAAGATAAAATAAAATTAATATTTAGTTTTTTTTATTACTTTAGTTTTACTATATAAAACTATATAAGTCTAAGGTATTTTTTATTACTATAAATAAAATTACCTATATTTACTTCTTAATTATTACTAAAGTAACCTTAGTCCTTTTTATTAGATCTATTTTAAGTAGCTTAGCTTATTATTACTTATTTATAATACTATAAATCTCTAGATAAATTACTAAATTTAGCTAAATAAACACTTTTATTAATAACCTATTAATATTTCTAAAGTAAGTATATATTCTTAGTAAATTTATAAAGTTATTTAACTACTTAGCCTAAGAATCTAAAGCACTATAAAGAAGCTATTAATTCTTAAGTAAAGAAAAATAAATCCTTTATAAAATCTATTTAACTAGATATTTATAATAAAATAAAGTAATTATAATAAAAAGACTAAGAAAAGTTAAAAGTAATTTAATATTCTTTTCCTTTAATCCTTAGAGAGAAAAAGAAATTATAATCTACTTTAGAAAATAAAAGCTAAAAAAACCCTAAAAGATTAGAATCTTATAATATAGATAAAATACTAAAGTATTCTAAGGATAAATTTCTATAACCTAAAACTATTATTTAAAACTTTTTATAAAATTAACTACTAAAAGAAGAAAATAAAGAAGTTAAAAATAATCTAAAAGCTTCTTTATATACTACTAAAAGTAAATTATAGGCCTAGAACTAGGAAATATAGGATTTTACTATATTAATCTTAGGTATAAAGCTTAAATCTATTTATAAAGAACTAAAAGAATTATAAAAAGACTAGTACTTTAGGCACTTTAGCTAAGGAATAGTAGGCTATAAGAGAAGCAGTAGTAAAAGACATAAAGAAAAAGGTAGCTATTAGCTAGCCTAAGATCTCTAAGAGAAAAAACTAATATTTCCCTTAGATAATTCTAGTAATTCCTTAGTAAATAAACTACTAAAAAAAAAACTAAGTAAAGCTTTTTTAAGCTATAAGTCTAGTTTATTTAGATTTTAGGTAAAAAAGATTAAATAGTTTAATTTATTATCTTCTTTTATAAATAATAATAATAGTTACCTAGTTAAAACTAAGATAATATAGATAAATATATACTATTTTCTAGACTTAGCTAGATATTATATATAAATATTAACTAGCTATTAGCTAATAGTTACTTATAATCTTTATCTTTATTTTTAAAAAATAGCTAATAAATAGTACTCTAGAGATCTAGATAACAAGGACTATTAAGACTTAATAAATCTATAAAAAAGCCTTAACTTATAAGTATATTTACTTATTAAATAATTTAAGATTTTCTATAAAGTAGCTAAAATAAAGCTATATAAATTAAAATATACCTTAAAAGATATAAAGAACTATATAGATATTTACTGCTTTATAGCTAAAGTTAAATAGCTTATAGAAGTAGCTAAAGAACTAAAAAGTTATTATTTAGCCTTAGTCTATAATAGAATAAATCCTAATCTTATTACTAGTATACTAAGACTAGATAAAGAAACTTAATATATATAATAGCTATAGTACTTAACTTTTTATTAAGAAGAATAATAATATAATATAGAATAAGGAGCCTAAAAGAAGCTTTTATTAGAAAAAATATCTAAGAAAAAACTAGTAATTACTAAGCTAGTATATAATAAAAGGCTAATATAAAAAAAAAGCTATTATATATAGCTACTAAAATAAAGTAAATAAAGATATATAACCTAGCTAAGTAGCTAAGTAAATCTAATACTAAAGATTAAGTATTATTATAAAAGTAATTACTTATATACTATATTAAAAAGCTAATATAAGAACTTAAAGTTAACATAGGATTCTAAATTATCTTAATTAATTTACTAATATATCCCTAAGGATAATATAAATTATAAAGAAGACTATATTAATATTAAAGCACTAAATAAAATAAAATAATAAATCTAGCTATCTAAAAGGAATAAATAGATAAAGGGTATTTAGTACTTAAATTATATATAGCTACTAAATTAACTAATAATTCTCTAGATATTAGCACTAATAATTCTTTAAAAGTTTTACTAAATCTACTAACTATATTAATTTTGTTCTAGATATAAACCTACCTAAGGAACTTTAGGCACTACTAAAATACTAAGACAAGTATTACCTTTTATTAGCCTATAAATACTATAAAATAGCTATAAAAAAAGTAAAATCTCTAAAAGAAATATATTATAACTTATAAAATAATAGCTATTTACTAACTAAATTTTACTTATTTATAAAGTTTACTATAAGTAAATAATAATATTTACTAAGTAGCTTATAATTATTTATATATATAAATATAAGTAAATATTAGAGATAGCTAATAAATATAAATCTATATAAACAGTAGATTATTATAATATATTATTTTATAGTAAATCCTTAAAAAAATACCTAAGTATATATTTAATCTAACTATTAAGAGATAATTATAAGGAATTAGTAACTTATTAACCTTAGGTTAAGTAAAAGTTTTAACTAAATATCTAAGAAAAAATAAATAAAGAAATAAATAAGGCTATACTATATATTTAAGGCTAAGTAGTAGAAATACTATTAGTAAGGATACTTATTAGCTAAAAATTTAATATTCTAAATAAAGTAGATATACTAAATTCTTAAGGTATTATCTAAATTAGTTTATATAATAGACTAGAGATTTCTACTATAATCTTTATAAAATATAGCCTTATTATTTATAAAGTAACTTACTTATAAGATATTACTATACTACTACTAACTAAGGTAATTATACTTATTTAATATATAAAAGGTTTAAAAATAATTTACTTTTATTTAGACCTAAGTAAAGGTAATATATATATACTTTAATAAGTTAATTACTAGTAGTAATAGTAGTAAATAATATACTTTACCTAATAAAGTTATAGTAAAATTAATATATTAGTATACTAATATATCTATAATATAATACTATTTACTTAGTTTACCCTTATAGTAAAATACTATTACTATCTACTAATAAAAATCTATAAAGTAAAGACTATAAAACTATACTAAAGAATAATAATATCTTTAGAGAATATTTAATAAAAGATTAAAAGATTAGAATAAAGTAAAATAAATTATAAGACTTAGTGTTAACCCCTAAAGAAGTAATAATATATAATAAAAGCCTAAAGTTTATAGTATAAATAAGTAAAATAGTTAGTAACTTTCTATTACTATAGAAGCCTACTTCTAGAAGAATATAAATAAAACTAGAAGAAGAAATAATAATCCCTCTAGTAGAAAACTACTATAAGTATAAACTTAGATAGTAACCTTATTATTGCAATATTAACTATCGCAGATAAATATTAGAGTTATTAGGTTAACCCTAATAACTTATTACTAGTAAATCCTTAGAGATTTAGCTATAGATTCTCCAAGGATTTATAGGTAATAAGTTAGTTATTTAACTAACTAACCTATAATAATTATCCTTCTTTTCTTTATATATAATAAAGAACTATAGTTACCCCTATTATTTATTAATTACTACTAATATATATAGTTAACTATATTAACTTATCCTTTAGTGTAACTAACACTAATTAGTAGTTAACTTTACTATTAACTATAAAGGTTAACTTTACTATCTAAACTATAGATTAGTAAAGTCTATAAGAAAAGGTAATTATTACTAGTTAATTATTTATATACCTAGAGTAAGTAAGTACTAAAAAATGCCTCTATAAATACCTTTACTATAATAGTTTATACTAATTACTTATTATAATAGGTTAATTAATAGATCTATAACTAGTCCCCTTAACTAGTAAAAACCCTATTAATTTATATCTATTATATAAGCTTTATTGCCTTTAGAAAAGCACTCTTAACTATATAAAACCCCTTACTTTATATACCTATAGCTAACTAGTAGTTATTTACTATATCCTATTTATTATAAGCTCTTTAGCTTACTAACTTCTTTTTCTTATATATATACTTCTTCTGCTAACTAATAGCGTTAACAAGTTACTAACGTAATAGCCTATTATTTTCCCTCCTTCTACTAACTAATAGTGTTAATAAGTAGCTAATATAATAGCCTATTGTTTTTCCTTAAGTTATTTACCTATAAGAGTATATTTTTCCTTAACTGTCTATACTACTAGCAGTAATCCCTTTAATAAATATATATGCCTTCTAGTCTACTAAAAGAAACGCCTATATTTAAGAGGTTATTAGGCTAACAGAGGGTAATAGTAAATAATACTATGCCTATAAGTAAAAGACCTAAGCTAAGATAAGTAAATATAATAAGCTTATAAGTAAGTAAGGCTTATAGGTTACTATACCTTTACCTATAAGCAGAGAGTTTAAAAAAAATATAAGATATAATATAATATAAAAATATAATATAAATATAATATAATATAATATAAATATAATATATATATCTATATTATATTATATAAGAGAGACAATATATATATTTATATTTATATTATATTATATTTGTATTATATTTTGTATAATATATAACTATATAATATAAAAAATAAAAATCATTAAAACTAGTAAATTAACTATATATAATATTACTTAATTTTTATATATAGTATAGTATTATTTATATATTTTATTTAAAATATTATATACTTAAAAACTAAGATTTAGTAATAACTATTAAGCACTATATTAATAATAAATATAACGTAATACAAAATTTATTAATATATAGTATAATAAGTATAATTTATTAATATATTTAACTATACTAAAGTTATTATAAATAACTATTTATATAATA